GAGGAGAGGAGAGGAGAGGAGAGGAGAGGAGAGGAGAGGAGAGGAGAGAAAAAAAGGCACTCAGGCCTGGAATCTCAGTGCTGAAGAAGAGGAGGGAGGTGGATTCATGCATGGCCCCTCAGCGACTACTAGGTGAGTTTCATGTTAAGAGAGACCCTGTCCCAAATAATAAAAGGGAAGAAAGAAAACAAAAGAAAAAGGAAAAGGGACAAAGTTAGATGGTATCCAAGAAATGATGTCAGAGGTCATCCTCTAGCCCCAAACATATGCAGAGTCTTGACCAGCATGTTCTATAATAAATAAATCATTATTAGCCATAATTTTCATCATTATTTTCGAATAAAAGGAGAGCCTGCCTCATTCACTTGGAAAATTTTCCAGCTGATTGGGATTATCAAATTCCTGCGCTGGAGGATCTACAAACTGCACTGCCCCAGCAGATCGTTGCTATCTATGAACTGTGCACAGTTCATTTTCCTGGAAACTCTCCCTTAGCATACACTTCCAAACAAGACAACAAGCAGGTCGGATGTTGTACTGGGCAATGTGCAGAGTGCAGATTCCGTGAGTGTCGTGGGGAGGTGGGGTCGGCAGAGCAGTGCCTGGCGTCTACAACCCTGGGCTCCAGCCCTACCCGGGCTCCACAGCTCTGTGTGAGCTTGGATAGTTCATTTCTCCATCAGGTTCTGGACAAGGGAGGTAGGGACTTCACTGTCCCTATACGCCTCAGCTCCCTAGAACGTATGTTTATCCAATGTGGGCACAAGCAACCTGAAGCAGGGTTGGCTTTTACTCCCGTCAGTGTGACACTCCTAGTCCCGGGGACTTTCCTGCATTTGCATCTAGGTTCCTCCTGGCATAAAGCCCAACTGTTTTCTCATGAGAAGTTAAATCCTGATTATAGACTGCTAGCTAAGACAAGCCTGATCCCAGGGAAAGGCGGAAGAAAAAAACAGGCCATTGTGTTCACACTATTGTCAACACAGGAACTCCATAGGCCTAAAATCAAAGCATACTCCTTTAAAAACTAAAATAAAACAAAAGTGTGTGTGTGTGTGTGTGTGTGTGTGTGTGTGTGTGTGTGTTGCAGAGCCTCTCAGTGGGACCTGGAGTTTACTAGTAAAATAGACCCTCAACTAGCAAGCCCCAGGGATTCCTCAGTCTTCTTCTCCCTAGCACTGGGATTACAGGTGCATGCTGGGTAATCAGAATCAAACTTGGGTTCTCACACTTACATAGATAGGAAGCACTTCCCTGACTGAGTTCCCCTGAAATATATTTCAAATATCTGGTTTATGTTAGTCCCACCCTTAGCATTGTTGGACTGAGAAATGTGATACTTTGTGTTAGCATTTAGTCTAGGTTCTGCCCCACAGTTACCTGGCAATAGCAAGGTAGGCCTGACTCACTATAAAAGGAGGTGCTCACCCCTCCTCTCTCTCTTGCCTTCTTGCTCTCGATCTGTCCTCTTTCCCCTTCCCCCCTCTCTCTCCATGTGTTCATGGCCAGCCTCTACTTCTCTACTCCTCTTCTCTCCTCTCCTCTCCTCTCCTCTCCTCTCCTCTCCTCTCCTCTCTTCCTCCCTCCCTCCCTCCCCCCTCTCTCTATCTCTCTCTCTCTCTCTCTCTCTCCATTTCTCTATTTCTACTACCCTCTCAACTCACCTCCCCATGCCCAGAATAAACTCTATTTTACACTATAACATCCTGTGGCTGGTCCCTCAGGGGGAAGGGATGCCTCAGCATGGGAACACAGAGGCACTCCCTTCCCCCACACCTGACTACACACCCACCAAACATATTCCTTCTCCCTATCTTTTTATAAAACACAACATTTGTTTCTATGACTCAGATTCAAACAAGATTGCTGCGGCCACAATGCAGAGTACTAACCATCTAACCACTATATGATCACAGCAAGCGTCGAGAGACAAAATGCTAACACTTTGAGCTTCTTCTCTGATTTTAATTAAGATCCATGCTATTCTATCCACCAGCTTTTCAAAACATGACTTGTCTATGTGAGGGTTTTTCAGATGTATTTCTTTGTCTGGAGGACAGTGGTTATTACAGACTCACAAGTGGTCAAAGTGCAGACAAGATATATGTCTACTGGGCACGAGGTAATCTACGCCACTCCCTCACCTCAAGGTCCAGGCAGCTGCAGAACCAAGGTCTAGGGGATTAGCTCAAGGTTCAGTGAGAGGCCCTGTCTCAGTAAAACAACGTGGAGAGTGAGGGGGAAAGACAACCAACATTTGTCTCTAACCTCCAAATCATGTACTGTTTTCTCTCTCCTCCTCCTCCCTCTCTCCCTCTCCTCTTCCCTCTCTCTCTCTCTTCCTCCCTCTCTCCCTCTCCTCTTCCCTCTCTCTCTCTCTTCCTCCCTCTCTCCCTCTCTTCTTCCCTCTCTCCCTCTCTTCCTCCCTCTCTCCCTCTCCTCTTCCCTCTCTCCCTCTCTTCCTCCATCTCACCCTCTCTTACTCCCTCTCTCTCTCTTATTCCCTCTCTCCCTCTCTTACTCCCTCTCTCCCTCTTACTCCCTCTTCCTCTCTTTTTTCTTCATCCCTCTCTCCCTGTCTCCCTCTTTCCCTCTCCCTCTCTTTCTCCTCTTCCTTTCTTTTCTCTCTCTTCCCCCTCTCTTTCTCTCTCTCCACTCTCTTCCTTTCCCTCTGTCTCTCTCTCACACACAAAAGGAACTCCAGAGTACCTCACAGAAAGCATTTGTGCAAGGTGACAATGCTAACTGCACCACACACAGACCCTTTTGAAAAGGATAGCAAACCTCCTCGGGGAGTGCCGGTATATCTGTTGGTAGCTTTCAGAGCCTGTTCTGTAACTCCAACTGCTTGGAAGTCTGCCAACTTGCAGTTTTATAAAGTCCTCTCATTATTAGCAGTAAGAGTCTGCACCTGGGAAAGGCATATTTTAATCCACAGCTAAAGTTCCAAAGAAGAGCAAGCTAAGAGACAAAGCAGAGACAGGTAACTGGCTGCTGCTGAGACCACATTGGCTACTAACCTGCTTCAATTCGTTGGAGAAATACATGTAAGTCACAACCACAGACACCGCCTGCAGGAGCACCTGCAGGAGCACTATGCAGATCACCATCATTCTGAAGTGCTGACCGAAGCTGGGGCCCTTCAGGGTCTCCATGGAGGGCATGCTGCTGTCGAGGTCTGACTCTCCCAGGGCAACCTTGGAGTCCAGCAGCAGTGACTGAGAGGGCCACAGTTAGAAAGCAGAGTGCCCATGTAGTTTCTTTTTACTGTTGAGTGCAAAAGTGAAACTGAGTAACTCTGGGAGGCATACGCCTGCCTCTCAACTGAGGAAGTAGTGCACATTAGCCCTACAGCTCAGAGCGCTCGTCCTGGTGATTCTGGAAAGCCCAGATCCAGGGCTTTGATCCAACATCTACCCCATCTATGGACTGCTGGAGCATGTGAAGGAGCCAGTCCTGCAGATCTAAAGCTACAGGATCGACAGGACACAGGACAATAACAGGAAAACTGGGAGGAGTCTCAGTGAGAATCCAAAATCAAGCCAGAGGCCTCCAACGGCACCAACGACTCACAGTCATGAAAATCTGCAAGTGAAGATGTGTGGACAGAGGGATACACTGAGGGACACACTGGGACACTACAGCTTCTATGATGGGACAGAGGGATACACTGTGGGACACACTGGGACACTACAGCTTCTATGATGGGACAGAGGGATACACTGAGGGACACACTGGGACACTACAGCTTCTATGATGGGATGTTTTCTATGCTTTGTTTTATTTATTTTGTTTGTTTTGTGTGTTTTTATTTGGGGGGAAGTTATAAGGGCAGACAGTGATTACGAGGGGACAGGAAGATGAATGAGACTGGGGTACATGATATGAAACTCACAATCAACAGAATGTTTGTTTGTTTGCTTGCTTGTTTGTTTGTTTTTAAAAACTAATTTTAAAAAATTCCCAGCTGTTTAATTTTACCAGTGAAGACTCGGGAGGCAGGTGCTGGGATGAAAACCTACTAGCTTACACAGACAGAGAAAGCACCCAGCTAACCTCCCACGTCCCAGCAGGAAAAAGCTCCACCAACATCCCAGAAGGAAAAAACTCTTGTCTTAAATACCTTCAACTCAAAGACCCCCCTTTCTGTTCACTATGTTCACTCCCTGCCAACTGGTTTCTTGCTCTGCCTCTTGACCTAGAGCTGACTTTGTTTTTCTTTTGGTTTAAAGTGTGTGCTAGGGCTGAACCACACCACAACTACTTGTTTACAGCAAATAGAAAGCTCCAGGATCAAAGGCTGAGCCATAACACAATTAGAAACAGTTCACAATCTCCGGTTCACACTGTGATCAATGTCCTGCAACAACCACCTCCAGCTTCCAGCCCAATGCTTGTGACTCTCTGAGGCCCATGCAGGTTCTAGCCACAATGTTGCTATTTCTAATGCTAATTCCTAAGCACCACAGGACATTTTTCTGGCTGGTATCCCATTATGGGGAAAAAATGGGAATCCATTTGAACTCAAATTCTCTCAGGTCTGTAGACACTTCCAGCCTCACAGAAAGATTCCTTTGGTGGCTACATAACTACAAAGCTAAGAACCTTCACAGCAGAGGAGGGTGTCTACTGTGGTGCTGTAATTAAGCTGCCGTCTTCTTGAGAAAGACTCTTACTGAAACTGAAGCTCACACGGGGATCTTCCTGTCTGTGCCTCCTGACCACTGGGGTCACAGACACAGACCACCAGGAACAGCCATGGCAATCCAAGCTAAGGTCCTCATGCTCACAGAACGAACACTGTACCATCTCCCCAGTCCCAACCATTGCCTCTTTTTTACCTACTTGGGAGTTTAAAATGTTTCCACTCTGCTTTTGTTTTTTTTTTTTTTACACTTTTTAATTGTTGAAAGGGAATCAAGAGGAACCTGTGTGACCTGTAAAAATAACATAAACCAAATAGTCATATTCCTTTGCCCATCTGTTAATAGCCACATGTTTGTTTCTCTTTCTTTTATACTAGTATTTTGTTGTTGTTTTTGTTCCATGACAGTTTACATAATGACATGGTCAATTTCAGTTGTCAACTCGACATACCTGAAAAGACAGAACATCAATTAAGGAATTGGTACCACTGGACGAGCTTCTGGGAATATCTGCTGGGTATTTTCTTGATTGTTAATTGACATGGAAGGACCTAGACCACTGTGGGCAGGATCATTCCTGGGCAGGTGAGTCTGGGCTGTGTAAAGGAAACTGAACAAGCTAGAGAAGCAAGTCAGTGAGCAATGTCCTTCCATGGTCTCTGCTTCAGTTCCTGTTGTTGCTCTCTTCAAAGATGGACTTTAACCCATAAGCCAGATAAATCCTTCCCCCTCAAGCTAGTTTTGGTCAATGTTTTACCACAGCAAAGAAAGCAAACTAGGGTAGACTATGTATACTGACTGTGTGCATCTACCACTGCCTCTCTCCAGCTCCCTCTAGTGTTCCGACCCTCCCTCCCTCCCAGCTGCATTACCCTCTTTTTATTTTGTATGAATAACTCTCTGAGTTCATAGCACATAAGTGTGTAGCCATCTACTGGATCATAGGCAACCTGCCAGCAACCACAACCCCCAAGGAGACCAATTCTTCCTTCCTCAGCAGGCATCGACTGCCAGGCTTTTCTGATATTGGTGAGACTTTAGGAGCCTGCCCCCTTCATGCTGGAGTTTTGACTGGCTTGATCTTCTGCAGGTAACCATAGCTGCTCTGAATTGATACACAACATGGCCATGTCGTATTCAAATGACAGCCTCCCACGGCTCTCAGCCCTAGCTACAGCCTCTGACGTTCCTTCTGCTCTCTCTTCCTGAAAGTTTGCTAAATTTTGGAAGATGAGAGGTTGATATCACAGCTAGGAACCTGAAGTCACTAACACTTGGCACTTCAACCATTTATGGGTCTCTTGCTTTAAGCACTAGCCACCATTTTACGGATTCTCTAACCGAAGTTGAGAATAGCACAAATGTTGACCACCATGCTTGCACTATGAAAATCTGCCATTTCTAAAACTGCAGGTCTAAGCTGGTACATGTGCCAACCTCTCCTACTCTACAACAAGTCTTAGGAGTGCAGTCATGATTTGCTTTGCTTTGGGTTCCACGATGCCTAAAATACTTAGTGCCTGGAGTCCTAGAGAAAGTTTTCCAGGCCTGAACTGGTAGTTGCTCACTGCTCACAGAAGCAAAAGGGTGCTTCTACTTTTGTTTACTCAATACTGTATCTTAAATATCAACAGGAATCATTTATAACATTTGTTATTGATGATTATTCAAATCCAATTGGTGGTCTTTGTTATGCAAGTAAGAAAAATCTCCAAGTGCAGATGTGACTTGAAGAATCAGGAATGTGAAAGCTGAATCTTAGGGGGTTGGGCTCTCTAATTAGACTGTCAGAGGACACTAGTGGGTATCAATACCTTGTTAGGGGAACCAATGGATAATATAAACTGATACAGAGACTCACACACATACACTGCATTGGCAATTCTCAATCTAGGCTGCAGTTTCAAATGATCTGGAAGCCTTTCAAAGGGTCTGTGCCTATCGTACACTATTCATATTAAATAAAAAATGCCAGGTTGTGCCTCCACATGCCACAAGTATGCTGGCTTCTGTAGCCAAATATAATGGGTTTCATCGTAGTACATGCAAAGCCAAAAATAAGCATAGCCAAGGGCAGAAATGGCCTATTACCTGCCATAAAAATAGCATAGAATTTGTTTCCAAAGTAATGTTCTTTTTCAACATAGAAAGCACAGGGCTTTTATGTAGGGAGGTCAAACATATTTACACAGAAAACCATTTGGAAGGTGGACAGGTTCCTACGCATGTTCAGTTCAAGCCATACAATACTGGGAATGCTCAGTTTAAGATCATAGTTTAAAAAGAAAAGACAGGGGCTGGAAAGACAACTCAGAAGTTAAGGATGCTTCCTGTGCAATCATGAAGACTAGAGTTTAAATGCGAGCACCCATATACCAACCAGGCCAGGCGTCCCTGTGCGTGCTTGTAACTGAGAGTTTGCTGGGGCTCAACACTCCAGACTAGCTGAGAAAATAAGGGCCCGGTTTAGGGAGGGACCTTGCCAGTAGAGGATGATAAGGATAAAGGCGCACACATCCACATGTTGTTTTTCTTTTATTTTTTTGTTCTTGAAGCAAGCTCTCACTATGTACCCCAGGCTAGGCTCAGACTTACAATCCTCTTACCTCAGCCTCCCTAATTATAGGATTACAAACAGGTGTCTGCATGCTGTAGATTCTGTAACCTTCTATGTTGTTCCTTTATCAAGTCTTTCCTACGCATTCAGCTTCATGTTGAGAAACAGCCCCGTTTCCCTGGCTTCCATAATATTTAATTGAATTATGGAACACCATTAATTAGCCTATTCAGTGTTGTGAATCATTTAAGTCCGGTTAGAAGTATAGGTACGGACAGAGGATATTCCCATATACAGAGTGGTAACAAGCCATCGGTATCCAGACTTTGGTCTGTACCCTGTGCGAAGGTAAAAGAACTTATTATTATAAGTCAGCTTACAGGAAATCAGTACAGAACTCAGTCGGTATAACCTATGCTTTTGTATACTTCCTCTCCCTGGAAACTTTGTCATAAGAATATAAGTGGCATGAAAGTATGACTTTGTCACTTACCTATGTTGTAGGCAGCTGCTGGCACAGAGCCTGGCTTGCTGTATATGCTATATAAACTGAGTAGATATCTCTGGAACCTTCAGTCTCTTTCCTGGGCAAGCTGGTGTCACCTGAAGAAAGTCACCACATGGAGTTGTTAAGCTCCCCTTTCATAGTGTGAAAAGATATTTTTTACTTGCTTCTCTGTGCATATCCTTTGTATAGGTGACAGTCTTCATTCTGCACCTAAGGGTGCTATCTTAAGTGTAAATTTCGAGGTAATTCAGTAACTAGAGCCAGGAAGCAAGGTGGTAAAACAAAGACTTCCTCAACGATCTACAATGAATGGAGAACTCTGTGTATGATAGCTTCAGCAAAACCCCAAAGGGATGTTTAGTGTTAGGTAACCAAGAGCAATTCAAACAAACAAAAATAACACATTATGAATAAAGTTGCTGAAATCTTGGTGGGGAGATTTGGAGCTGTCAGATCCCGGAGCACCACCACAATCTGCCCCTACACTGTTCCAATATGTATACCCCAGTACCACAACAGTAGACTCCAGTGTCACCTCTAAGCCCAGTCAGGTTGCTTTACTGGAAACTGAACATAGTGGCTACTGGCAAACCCCCAGAGCAGAGTGTACTCAGTGTCAGCTTCATTGGTATGACTCATGAACCTTCATAATTCTCCACTAGTTTCTGGTTTGCGTGTTTCTGCCCCTTACTGAC